GAGCAGACAAGATGATTTTTGCCAACACAGACGTTGTCCTGGCTGTGCCCAGCATGTCAACTAGCAGCTGTTAGAAACACCAAGCAATCCACTTCCAAGCCACAAGGTCTCAATCGATCACACTTCATACTGCACATTCAAAGTCATTCAGCCTGTACTTTGGGGGGGGGGGTCTCATACGCCCTCTTTCAGAGTGCTCGAGGTGCTGCCCTGAAGGCTCATCTCCGAGGCAACGTGCCGACAATAACCTGTGAGCGAGTGGCACCTATCTCTGTGAGTGTTACTGCTGACCAGATGCCAGCCTCCATTAATCAAAAGGACATTTATACGGCTGAACACCTCCTTGACTGAAGAACTGAACAGACCTCGAGTTACTGAACGCGGCACACAGACGCAAATGTACATAGCAAAGTCACAGAAACTTTAATGGAGTATGTGCGTGTGCGCACGTGTGGGTTTCCTATAATTTGTGCTCTAACTGAGGCATTGGCCATTGTTATGAAAGTCTGGTGGGAGCAGGGGGTTTAAGTGTGTGTGTGTGTGGGGGGGGGGGGCTATTGAAAGCCTTTTGTCAGAGGGCCGGATGTTGCCCTGAATGGGAAGCGCTCTTTTGGGACTGTGCCAAAGTCTTTCTCTCTCTTTCTCTATCTTATTGTGTGTTTATGAACACATAATTAATTTAGGGGGAGGGAAACACAACACCCACTACCTAATAAATGCAAATATAAATTCAAAGATGCAGGTGAACCTTAGAACTGTAATAGCTTCTTTGATGTATCCTTGCATATGTTTCATCAGTGAACAATCCATGTGTTCACATCGATGCCTTGAAGTTAAAATTCAAAGGCTATTTGAATTTCAAACATATTTTACATCATAAATACAAACTTGTAATGGCATCACTCTTCATTAAACTACATTATTATTGTGCTGCTGACTCATGTAACAACCATTGACAGTATATAAAAGGTAACGGACATGTTTACAAAGTCAATTTAACAGCTTCCCCTATTATTTTGTAATACTACAATGAGGTTGTAAATAGGTACCATTGTTCTTTAAATAAAAAAAAAACATACTTTTAACATACATTTTGATTAAATCTGCACATGTGGATTTAATAATGTTTGTAGGGTTGCATGTTCTTGAGTTATTATTTCCTTGACCTAAAGGAGGAATAATTTCCATTTCTTCCATGTCTGAGTCAAATGATCGTTGGTATCAAAAGTTTAACACAATCAAATAAATACATTAATAAATCAGTGGTCCAATGTGAAGAACCTGAGCAAGGAGAGGCAGTACTGATAAACAGCCTTTTAATTAAGCTAACAAAAAACACTAGCACACATACTGTTATTACTCTTAAAACACCCTTTGTTTCTGTATTGTATGTTGTTATTTGCTTCCTCCTAGCTAGCTATGAGTATTGTGAAACAATATGGATGGTATGTTGAGAATGAAAATGTCTGAAGAATTTAAGGTTGGAGGGAGCAACGGGCTTTAAAAAGTAACACTCATTTAGCTCTGGAAATGTTATTAATGTCTATGGCAACATTTTAGAAAAAGATCAATGGGAATTGCTGGGCAGCGTAATTCATCTGATGTAACTGGCCAGCAAGGCCGTCTTTTTCGAGGCATGATGCTGTGACATATATATAACATAAATATGTTTCCCAGCCTAGTTTATTTCAGTAATTAAAAGGGAAGAAAAACACCCTCAGGTTGTTGGAAGTTAAACTTGGAATATATTTTGTTTCTGGTATCTACAGAGTGGAGATTACAATTAGTCACACACTCCAAGGGGAGCTCATGTGTTCAATCTCTGCCTCAACATACATGCACAAACAATAAAACAACACACACACACTTTCTCTCATCACACATATGCAATATATAGAATTTTCTTCCTTCCCTTTAGTCTCAATTCATGGAGCCACTGTGCCTGTTTTCTGAATAGAGTAGATGACTCCTACGTGATCTACTATTTAGAGTACTACATTGCCTAGAGCATGTTCAGACTTTTTGATCATAATTTTACATTTTTCTACACAAACAGGCATATTTCCTTGGTCCTTGAGTTCAGATTTTTGATGGTATTTTTAGCAAACTATTGCAAATATCACGAATAGAGTCTCAAACTTATACTCCTCCTATATTGCCCTACTGAGGACCCCTTGTGGTGACCTGACCATACCTGAGCTACTAACTGGGTAAGAGTGAATGAAGCAGCTGAATGTAGTAGGTGTGTATAAAACACAAGAGTCGGCTACTCACCTGTGTAGTAGGCAATCCGGGAAATATCTGAAAGACAAACATAGAAATAACAGTTAGCTGGTTTGTTTCATTTTCAGCCGCTGAATTAAGAAATCATCAGGTCAGAAATGTCACTGAAGTCTATTAAGCCACACAGCAGGTGTTTACAGTTCAGTTCATGAATGTGAATTACAGAGGGGATGCCAGTGCCTGCTGCTCAATATTTGTCAATATAAATAGCATCGATCAATATCCTGTCGACTTTTCGAAAGGGTATTGATTTATTTTTGTAGAATCAATATCCCATTGTTATGTGATTTACTCCCACCCGAGGTATGCTGAAGCCTCACTGGTTAATAGAGCTAACTGGGTAATGCCAAGGAACAGGTTTATTGGCTCATGCTCAGCAGCTGTGAGATGAGGATGTTACAGTGAGAGGGCTTCAGTTCGGTCCACCTTCTTGCCTTTGTTTAGTGGGTACGCTACAACTTACGATGTGTGGTTGTACTCTTAAAGCTTGCAGAGTTTACATGCTTTACAGTATAACATCCTCAGTTTTAAGGCTAGCTAAAAGTGGCGGTCCTACTCCATTATTGAGTGAGTAGGTACACTAAACTACATCGTTACTGCAGCTCCCAAACTCTCACAGGAAGCCCCGGAGAAGCATTTTGAAAACTTGACACCCAGTTAGAGCAGTGATAGGGCTGTATGGCGGAGGAGGTCAGGAGGATAAGTGCCTAAGTGCTTTAGACACCCTGATGTGTATACACACACACACACACACACACACACACACACACACACAACACACAACACACAACACACAACACACAACACACAACACACAACACACACACACACACACAGGGTGAAATGACAGCAGGGGTTGATGATGTAAGAAGAATACCCACAAACCCAAAGGAAATACCAGCAAGGTGACTCATGGTGTGTGTGTTATCGACAAATCTTTTGTAATAGGAAACCAGAACCCTATAGTTTGTGTGTGTGTTTGTGTGTGTGTGTGTGTGTGTGTGTGTGTGTGTGAGAATGGTAGTCTCTGCAAACACATAGATAATATTTAGATTATATATTTTGGCAAGGTCCAGTTATTATGTCAAATGGCTTAATGGCAGGTTAAATACCAAAATATTAAAAGCGTCAACAATTTCATTAAAAGTGTAATTTTTATTTGATCTCATATAGCAAAACTATTTCCTTCGTACTTCACAGCAGTCAGCCAGCACAGTCAGCCTGTTGCCCCCAAATATTCAGGCTTTTGTAGCTTTAGACACAGCCATTGCCTTTCATCTCAACATAGATCCCCCTTTCAATAATCAAACCAAAGACTTAAACCTTTAAATGGAATATAATATATATAACTTTGTTTTCATTAGCGTATAATCAAATGAATGTAGGAATCGATATGTTTTTGTCACCCTAGATCGAGCCGGTTACATCTACAGATGCTGTGGGGACGCCACCATGTTTCTACAGTAGCCCAAGAAGCAACAAACCAAACACTGGCTCAGGATAAGGTTGTTCGGGTTTTTCACGGATTTCACAACCTCTGTGGGTTCTCCTTCGCACTTGGAAGGCGACGGTGTAGCGAGTCTCTAACTACACCTCTACAAGCCACTGAATGCTACACACTGGACCTTTAAGACAACTACTATAATAAATTACTAAACCATATCCTGCTGTTTAAGTCTCAAAGTATCTATAATGACATTTACAGTAGATAGATCTGAACCCTACACGCACCATCTGTCCCGTGGATTCTCAGTCTGACTATTTATCTTTCCCTGTCTCTCTTGCTAGAGTTCAATGTAAGTTAAGTGCTATGTAGCCCGACATCTGCAGCCAAACTGGCGCATGGTCTAGACTAAAAAACCTTAAGAGACTGTGGCCTTTTCATGTCTGGGAAACAAGACTAGACAGCACCTGAAGAGCTGGAAGACAACATATTGCTGTCTAAATACAAATAATTAGTTAAAACACTTTTTATAGACGGATATTTTCATCTTTCATCCTCAGTGTTAACTGTAGCTCTGTTCTCTCTGTAGAATATTCTGCACGAGTGCTAGAACGGTGCTAATTACATACCAGTGTGTTAAACAGCCTACACTGCATATATATCAAAGAGGGCCCTGGGTCACACACACACACACACACACACACACACACACACACACACACACACACACACACACACACACACACACACACACACACACACACACACACACACACACACACACACACACACACACACACACACACACACACACACACACACACACACACACACACACTAACTTTCCTGTAGACTGGCAGACGGCCCAAAACACCTGCTCCTCAAGCTGTCCTCAAGAATCAGACACACAGAAGATGACAGCAGAAGGATTCATATACTGTTGTCTGTTCCACAAATCATATAGCATATGTATACAAATTAACAATTGTTATTTAGTCCACATTTTGTGTTGTTGAAGGGGAGTTTGTTGCAGAATGCCCTCCAACTGTTTTCATACTGTGAGGGTGGGACATACACAAACCATTGTGGAGGAGAAAAAGCAAAATAAATAGTTCATAAAAGAGATAAGGCAGCACAAAAACAGTCTGTCTTATTCCAAAACACAAACAGCTGCCCTCAGAATTACACCTCTGTTAGTAACAGAGTATTTGCATTAATGCCACAATCTGAAGGTTTTATTCCTCCTAATTCATGCAAGTTCTTTCTCTGCATCATGAGCATTAGTTAAGGTAGGTTTGTGATTAGTATTATTCCTCAGCTGTTATTACTGTACACACTAAAAGCCCCAAAACACAAACAGAAAACAAACTGCCATCACACACCCCTTACACACCCCCTTCACACACACCCCTTCACACACCCCTTCACACACACACACACACCCTTCCACACACACACACCCCTTCACACACACACACACACACACACACACACACACACACACACACACACTGTGGACAGTCTCCATGTCTGCAGCCTGTGTATAATTGCACGTTAACCACTGTTTTTTTTTGGTAACGGTAATTAGGCAGAACAATCAAGACAGAGTCTGCTATGCAATGATGTCTAAACTACTGGTCTCAGATCAGTAGTTAAATAAAATTCACAGTTTCGGGGAGGTCAGAGAGTAAGACAGTTTTTCTTTGCTACAGCTAGTGAAAGAAACAAATTAAAGACAAAGCCCTCTTAAACTGAAACTTATTTTTTGTTATGCATTTGACTTAATGTTAAAAAACACGACAACAAAAAAGGTGTGCTCAGTTGAAGAGCAAATCCACAACATCACAATGAAAGGACTGTTATCAGAGCAAAATATTGTTTTTTCATTGCAACTTGCTGTTTTTCTTCCATTTTTAGTGTCAGCTTCCATTAAAAATCCTTGTTTTTACATGTCCAGACATTACAACAGATTCAGTTTGTGTTGTTGTTGGGTTTATTGTAGAATGGCTGAGGCAGCTGATGACTACCAACAACAGCAGTCGTGTTATGGTAGATGGAAATAAAAGTTGGAACAAAACTGTGTATAACTTAATGCAACAGTGGCAGATTAAACTGGCTGCGGAGGAATAGAGGCAGATGCGCTTTTCCTCCATAATAAATAAACACATCTCCTGCAACAATCAACTGAATTAACCTGACGAGAGCAGTCAGCTGTTCTGCCTCATTGCTCTGTGTCTAGTGGTTAAACTTCAAGCTGAGCTGGCACACGCTAGTGTGTGTGTGTGTGTGTCCCTCTGGACAATGGGGTGTTACTGGAGCGTGCAGTCTAAGTCTTACGATGCAACAACATAACCCCTGAGGCACCAATCACACCTGCCAGTCACACTGACATACAAATGCATATCGCGCACACACACACACACACACAGTTTTTGTCCTTCAAAATATATTTTGCAAGGAAAGGTTTTGACTTTGAAAGTGGCACATAATTTACATATCATGGTATAAATAAGTTTATATAACGGAGGACAAGTCAGTGTTTTTCATGACTCAATTTAGAGTGAAACAACATATAAAATACTGCCATGGTGAGCTGCATAGGTAATGTGTTCAAACAGAACAACAGTTTTTCTCATTATTCACAGTCAGATAAACATGGAGCAATTATTCAAAACCCGTCACACTATGACAAAATAAAATACACACGCACGCACACGCACGCACACGCACACACACGCACACACACGCACACGCACACACACACACACACACACACACACACACACACACACACACACGGCTGATGCATACCCCAGATAAGTCCTACACGCGTGCAACATAATAAGGTCACGTAAATGCATGACTGCTCATACACATTTATCTGCAAAAGCGCAAACGCTGTGGAGACACACATTCACTCAAGTGTGTATAGTTAAGGTGCAGTGATAAAGCTAACTGGCTTACTAAAGCGGCCCGCATGTTAATGTATCACACTCAGACCAGATACACCATTTATAATTCATAACAATGATTTAGGATGAAGGAACTGGTTAAAGGGCAAAAGATTTAAATGGGGTTTTTTTTATGATACCAGTCTGTTTTATAGATAAACCAAAACACATCTGACATTAATGACCAATTAGACTGTAGCCCCAGTTGAGGCTTTAAACATATATTTACACTTGCTTTCCCATTGAAAACATGTTTTTTGAGTAAGAAGGAAATCAAAAAGCAACATTAAATATGTAATTCTTATTTGACTTTTTATGAGTGCAAACTCTAGGGAACTGGTCTACAAGGCTGAAAATGAATAATCAATTCTGATTGGCCAAGGAATGCAAATCCTTACTGGCTCGACTCAATGCTCTCTTAGATTAGAGTATTACTACACCATGTTAATAGATGTAGAATTAACCATGCTAAAATTATGTTGTATAGATTGTAAAGGCCTCTGAGACAAATTTATGATTTTATGATATGTAAATAAAATAAACTTGACTCTTATCCTTCTACTGGAAAACAGGATATAATGAGGGTCAGCTGAAATGTAACAGCAGGTAAAGGTGCAGCGTTG